CAGCAGTTGGAATGTGGACAGATATAAGTGTTCGGATATTTTCGCTTCCTGACTTAAATATTATCACGACGGAACATTTGGGAGGGGAGATCATTCCGCGTTCCCTGCTTCTATGTTCTTTTGACGGGGTATGCTTTGTGCTTAACCTTGTGGACTTTTTGTGTCTTCGGTACATCGTCGTGGATTCTGTGTATGGCTTACTTTTATGGAGAATTTTAAGCCTTTTGAATATAGAATCTTTCTTTACACTCTTTGAACTGAATAAAGAATTCTTTAAGCTTTTCAGATATGGTTTTGGGGTATTTTTGAAGGCATTTTCGAGTTTACTCCCCCCCCCCCCCCCCCCCCCCCCCCCCCCCCCCCCCCCCCCCCCCCCCNTCCTCCTCCTCCTCCTCCTCTTTCATGAACTCAGTTGTTAATGTCTTATACCATCACACAATTCTCTTTGGAAATCTTAACTCATCAAGGGAGGCAAGTGCAATACTTCATTTTGAATTAGAATTTCAAATTGTTAGTTTCAATTCAATCTTGTTTTTTAAGTCCTTGTGAGTTCTAAAACCTAGGCAGACCTCAACATATGCACGAGTTTCATAATTATAGCGAACAAGAGTACGTCGCTCTGCTTACCTATCCCATGAAACTTCTTGCTGTTAATTTCAGATATCGTACTTGTTATGTGCACTTGGAGATGGACATCTATTGAATTTTGTGTTGAACACAAGTACTTGTGAGCTGACGAATAGGAAGAAGGTGTCTCTTGGGACCCAACCTATTACGCTTCGTACTTTTTCATCGAAGAATGCAACGCATGTTTTTGCTGCTTCTGATAGGCCCACAGTTATCTACAGCAGTAACAAGAAATTACTTTACAGTAATGTAAATCTAAAAGATGTCAGTCACATGTGCCCCTTCAACTCTGCTGCTTTTCCAGAAAGGTAATTGCTATCCTACTTTTGTATATTGGTTGGGTAATTTTAATACATGTCTCATACTTAAGGTGTTTAGGATTAATTTGCCCTTCAGTAACGGATTAATTTTATTATTTTTTTCAATTGTCAAGCAATTGACATCCTGAGAGCAGAGTTGGTTTCTTTAAATTTATCATGGTAGATTTTCTTTTCTTTTTATAGTGACTACTAAAAAGTATCACAGCCAAGAAATGTAATTTATTAGATAATATACCCTTGTTTCAACTTTCGAGAGAGAGGGAGGGGGGGGTGGGGGGGTACATATTTTTATAGTTTAAAGCTTAATAAGAAGTTTTCCTTCTCAACAGCCTTGCAATTGCTAAAGAAGGTGAGCTAACAATTGGCACCATTGATGATATTCAAAAGCTTCACATACGCTCTATTCCACTTGGGGAGCATGCTCGCCGCATATGCCATCAGGAGAAAACCCGGACCTTTGCTATATGTAGCTTAAAGTATAATCAACCAAGTGCAGAAGATCATGAAATGCACTTTATCCGCCTGTTGGATGACCAAACTTTTGACTTCATATCAACTTATCCACTTGACCAATTTGAATGGGGTTGCTCGATTCTTAGTTGCTCCTTCTCTGATGATAGTAACGTTTACTACTGCGTCGGGACTGCATATGTAATGCCAGAAGAGAATGAACCAACCAAGGTAACACACATTCTCTCTCTCTCCCCAACCGAGTATGTGTGAAATCATATGCTGGAAGCAAATTAAGGTAATTAACTTTGTGTGTATATGAGTGAGGGAGGCAGTAAAAGTAAGTACCCAGGCAATTGAGACTAATGCCACTCTTCATATGTGGCAGTTGAAAATACGAGGTTTTTTTGTCCTTAACCAAAATCTGTTCCCCTCCATTTTGTTACAGAGTTTATGTGCAAGTTTAACTTCTTCAGAGACTAGTATACTTTCAATTACAGTTTTCACACCTGTTACTTGGAAATTCACAATGTGGACATCTGTGTGGAACAATATTGGTTATTTAGAATTCGAGATGTGAGAGCAGTACTGCCTAAACAAAACAGTAAGTTTAATAAACTAGGCATATATATATATATATATATATATATATATATATATATATATATAACAAATTNTATAAAATCATTCTACATTGAAATTCCTAGAGGCTTTACGCTGTTTGCATTTGCTTTTTGCTAGACATGTTGGGAAGTTTTACTTTCGCATTAGCCTTTGTTAACCTTAACCTTTTCATTTCCAATGTATATGTTATTGTGCTGCTTGTTATTTAGGATAGGTGATGTTTTTTGTTTATAAAATCATTCTACATTGAAATTTCTAGAGACTTTACGCTGTTTGCCTTGGCTTTTTGCTAGACGTGTTGGGAAGTTTTACTTTCGCATTAGCCTTTGTTAATCTTAACCTTTTCATTTCCTTCAAAATTTGCAGGGCCGAATTTTGGTTTTTGTAGTAGAAGATGGAAAACTTCAGCTCATTGCAGAAAAGGAAACTAAGGGGGCTGTTTATTCTCTTAATGCCTTTAATGGGAAACTACTTGCTGCGATTAATCAAAAGATTCAGTTGTACAAGTGGATGCTTCGCGATGATGGCTCTCGTGAGTTGCAATCTGAATGTGGACATCATGGACACATACTCGCTCTTTATGTGCAAACTCGAGGAGATTTTATTGTTGTGGGTGATCTGATGAAATCCATTTCTCTTCTAATTTACAAGGTGAAAAGAAATAGAAAAAAAATCACATAAGTTTGTACTGCCGATGTACTCCCCAACCTTTGCAAGCAAGCAAGTGGGTTCTTAACCTTGTAGTTACACAGTCTACAAGGACCAAATCTCTGAAGTCTCAATTAAATCATCACATGGCACTCGCACGTCCAACTTTATGAAGCTGTGTTTTGTTTCCCAACTTGGGCTAGTACCAGAGATTTGAAGTGAGACGTGTTTTCATGAGGGTTACGTGGTGATTTAATGAAGATTTGGACATTTCGGTTGTTGGGGGCCACCAATTTTATGAAATGTTAAGAACTGACTTGCTCAATTTTAAAGGATATGGATAAACGAAAGGTTGGGAACCAATGTTGCAGTATTTACTTCTTGTTTGTACTCCCACAGTTTTAGGGGAATTCTCGAACTGTCGATGCAATTTTGCTAATATTCTTGGTTTGCTGTTATCTCAGCATGAGGAGGGTGCTATTGAGGAGCGAGCTCGTGACTACAATTCGAATTGGATGACAGCCGTCGAGATTCTGGACGACGACATTTACCTTGGTGCTGAGAATAATTTCAACCTCTTCACAGTCCGTAAAAATAGCGAAGGGGCTACTGACGAGGAACGAGGACGTCTCGAGGTGGTTGGCGAATACCACCTTGGCGAATTCGTCAATCGATTCCGACATGGTTCTCTTGTCATGAGATTGCCAGATTCCGATGTTGGCCAGATCCCAACAGTCATTTTCGGCACCGTCAATGGTGTTATTGGGGTCATTGCTTCTCTTCCTTATGAGCAATATATCTTCTTGGAGAAGCTGCAAACTATTCTTAGGAAAGTGATTAAGGGTGTGGGAGGACTTAGTCATGAACAGTGGAGGTCTTTTTACAACGAGAAGAAAACGGTAGACGCTAAAAACTTCTTGGATGGAGATTTAATAGAGTCGTTCCTTGATCTTGGCCGGAATAGGACGGAAGAAATCTCAAAGGCTATGGGCGTTCCAGTGGAGGAATTAATGAAGAGGGTAGAGGAGTTGACTAGGTTACATTAACAGTAATAGTATACATCTCTGCTTCTTGCATCAGAAATTGCTTGGGATTTTTGGTGCATGGCTAAAGATACTTTTTTTTTTTTTTTTTGTGTGCAATGTCCATCCATTGTTGTTATCGTGTTCTTATGATAGGTTTCTGTTGTCGGAGTGTTGTGTTCTGAGTAACATTTTCCTGTATTTGTCAAAACTGAAATGGCATATTAAGGGCCTGTTTGTTTTTTATTCTCAAATTCTACGGTAAATCAATTCTCATTTTCAACCACACATTCTTCAATAAAATAATATTTTCCATCACATCAATAATTTTTTCTTCTTTTTCAACCACACATTTCCCATCATATTACTATTCAAAAATCAATTATTCCCNGTCAACTATTGTGTTTGTTTTTTATTCTCAAATTCTACAGTAAATCAATTCTCATTTTCAACCACACATTCTTCAATAAAATAATATTTTCCATCACATCAATAATTTTTTCTTTTTTTTTCAACCACACATTTCCTATCATATCACTATTCAAAAATTAATTCTTCCCCCAAAAATCCTTACCAAACAAGCACTAAATCCTGTTTTATCCCATTTTTGTGATCGATTGCTCATCATCATCTTCATCTGCTTCATTCAACAATGACTTTTTTCTCCTTGAAACCCTGAAATCTTCATTATCATCATCTTTTGAGCATGTGAATACTCAGTTGTTTAACTAATCATTAAGATTTTTGTGACACTATTGTGGTGCATATGAACAAAAGCTGTTGACTTTAATTCCCTTCGCTTTTGAAGATGTACGTTTTTTTTGTTGTGAGTTTTACGATGACCCATTTACTGTTATCATGGCATTGAAACGACAACACAATCGTCATGCAGTTTTTCTTCTGGGTTTTGCAAATTTAATGTTCCAAAATAAAATTAATATTTGCACTTTGGTCATTTTTTGAAGTATTCTTAGGTATATCTACTGGTTGTGGACGCCTCTTGAAGTGTTTCGAGCCATAACGGCTTGGATATCATTATCTTTGTGCTGAAATGACAAGGGTGTCATTATCGCTGTTCCACTCTCGTTTTGCACTCTTTATGTTTTGAAACATTGTTAGGCGTAAATAGCATTTCTGAGTGACAAACGTTGATTCGGCTAGACAGATGGGTTCCAATAATGTAATGAAAGTTGTTCTCGTTACGTTAAAAAAATACGAACGCTTACCTTCGAATAAATCAAGATTGTTTGTTTGCCATTCACCGTTCAAGTGGCGTGAACCTACTTTTTCAACTCGTTTAGTCATTTCAAAGCATTCCTGGGCATGCCTATTGGTTGCGGACAACTTTTAAAGCGTTTTGAGCTATAATGGCATGTTTATCATTAACTTTGTACTAGAACGACGAGGGTGTCATTATGGCAGTTTCACTCTCGTTTTGCAATTTTAAGGTTTCAAAATAATGTTATTGGGTATGAATAACTATTCTGAGCAAGAAACTTTGATTCAGCTTGATGGATGCATTTACATCATACAATGTAAGTGGTTCTAACGCTGTAAACCAAGTAGGAACACCTATCGTCGAATGGATCAACACCATTTGCTTGTCTTTCATCGTTCGAATGGCGTGAAGATACTTTTCCAACTCGCATAGTCAATTTAAAGCATTCCTAGGTATGCCTACTAGTTGTAGATGCCTTTTACGACATTTTGAGTCGCAATGACATGCTTGTCATTATTTTTGTATTGAAACGACAAGATATCGTTATGACAATTTTCCTCTTGTTTTTTATTCTTATATTCCAAAATAACATTAGTCAGTTTGAATAATATTCATAGGCATTTCCATTTGTCGTGTACGGCTTTACTGAAATGATAGTGCAGTCTTATGATCCTTTCTTAATTGTTTTGCACTTCTTACGTTTTAAAACATAGTTGGTATTAATGATATTTATAGGCTCCATTGGTCATGTACATCGTTGCGAGTGTTTCGAGCCACAACGGGATGAAAAACCATTATCGTGGCATCTAAAACGACAGTATAGTTGTTATAATTGTATCTTGCTCGTTGTCAAAATGAATTCTATGGAATAGTCACATATATGTATACTGCTACTACATAGAGAATTATTTTTTGCAATGAAAATTGTCAAGAATCGATACATTTGACAAATTTGATAACGATGTAATGTTCCGCATTTACACAGTATTACACAATGAAAAGGGTTAATTTGTATATATTGTTTTTCCCTTTTTAATTCTTTATATGTTTATTCTAGAAGCTTCCTTTTTATACAGTATTCTGTTAGTTTGTTAGGCACATGTGTGTATATTTAGCCCATTACTGTACATTGTACTTCATTCGATTATTTAGAATATATCAATTTTGTTCTCTCATACTCTCCTTTGTGCACGGCTCTTTGGTTTTCTACCTTTCTAAAACTCACATGATATCAGAGACTTAGAGAGCACCTTCCATGGAGGATTCCCATAGTTCAGACGGTTCTTCTTCTTCCCCAACCCAACCCTCAGTTCGTTCTGGCCATTCAGCAACCAACAATCGTGCTACAAACCAGACGAAATACCTCAACCTCACAGACCTTGGCAACCCATTTCGCCTAGACACCGGCAACAACCTTGCTGTGCTTTTGGTCACGGATCTCCTCACTAGTGACAACTACTCCACCTGGTCGCGAGCGATGCGTAGAGCACTTCGTGCCAAAAATAAGTTGGGCTTCATCTCTGGCTCAATCCCTAAACCAGCTGACCCGGATGATATTCTCTTCGGTTTGTGGGAACGCTGCAATGACATGGTGGTTTCTTGGCTACAAAATTCCATCAGCCCTTCCATCAAAGCTAGCGTGGCCTTCGTTGATGACGCCCGTGAGATCTGGCTCGATCTTGAGGATCGATTCTCTCATCAAAATGGACCTCGAATTTATCAGCTCAAGAAGGCCTTAGCCAGCCTTCTCCAAGAATCAGACTTTATAAGCGTTTATTACGGCAAATTAAAAACTCTATGGGGTAAGTTATTGATCTATGACCCTATTCCAGTTTGTACATGTGGTTCCATGAAAACACTCTCTGACCGTTACCAACGTGACTCTGTTTTCCAATTTTTGATGGGGTTGAATGACACATACTCTCCTGTTCGAGACCAAATTATGCTTCTCGATCCATTACCCCCTTTGACTAAAGTGTTTTCCCTCATCCAACAACAAGAACGCCACTACCGGATGGTCTCTGTCTCCCCCTTACCTGATTCCATGGCTTTTACCATTAGACAACCCTTTCCCAATCCCACCAAATTCCCTCCCCATTTCAAACCCAAGAGAGACAGAGCTTACTGTACCCATTGTAAGATCACTGATTATACATTTGAGACTTGTTTTAAAGCTGGTAATGCCGAGGCACCTATTTGTTTTCACTGCAACATGTCTGGACATACAATGGAGAAATGCTCCAAGCTTCATGGCTATCCACCTAGCCATAAACTGTTCAATAAATCTTAAGGTTCCTTTACTCTTGCTGCTCAATCTATTTCTAACCAAGAGGCTGCCAGTGATGATCAAGTAGGCCTTACCAAGGCTCAATACCAGCAACTCATGGCTTTATTCCAACCTCGAGAGCTTTTTTTTGCTGTCCAGCCCACATTTAGTCCAATTTTCCAACAACTTCGACTCCTCACATTTCTGGTATATCCCTTTACTTATCCACCACCACCCACTACACTTTGTCATCTCAACATGCTCCTTGGATTATTGATACAGGTGCAACAGACCACATGGTCTGTTGCCCCTCTTTGTTGACCACTATCACAGCCACAACTTCTCACTGAGTCAGATTACCAAATGGGACAAATGTCCCTGTCACACACAGGCACAGTTCAGTTAACCAGGACCATTCTTCTCACTGACGTTTTATGTGTTCCATCGTTTAAATTCAATTTGATTTATGCCAAGAAATTGGCAGTCACACTCACCTGTTGTCTAGTGTTTTTCTCTGATTTTTGCCTCATACAGGACCTTCTCTCATGGACAAAGATTGGAAAGGGTGAAGTGAGGAATGGACTCTATTACTTACTTAATACTGTTGTTCCTCCCTCTACCCTGGCCACCACACTTCAGCCATTAACCAAGAACTCCATTACAGCCTCTGTTACTAGTTCTCATAGTGTTACTGACCTATGGCATTGTCACCTAGATCCTCTTTCATTTCCAGTTTTACATATGATCACAGATCCTATTGCACGCGACCACGTTTCTGCCATTAATACAAAACCATGTTATGCTTGTCCGTTAGCAAAATTTCATAGGCTTTTGTTACGGGTCAATGCACGGAGTCAACATGTGGCGCCACGTGTCGACGGTGGGACCAGCTTGATCAAATTAGGTTACGATTCTCTAGCTTCGGTCGTGGGTTCCGAGGCCCTCACTATTATCCCGAGGCCCTAGTCAGCACTCTGAGGCCCCTGCCATTAACGTCCGAGGCTCATTAAAGGACCACTTGCGGGGATTCACTCATGATGAAAATCTTTAACAAATGATTGATGTGACTCTTATGTAAAGTTTGCTTACGTCTTGTCTTGTCAATGTAAGAACATTTAATGCTTTGTAAGGCTAGGAGAGCCAACTTGATGGCTAGGACTTGATGTCTTGACCGAAGAGATGTTGCCACGTGTAAATTGATCCAAAGGTCACAATTTAAGTTGTAACACTATAAATACCCCAACCATGTAATACAATAGGGACTAATGCAAAATTCAAAAGAGAAACTGAATATTTGGAAACATATTGCTCTCTTTTTGCCAGGAAAATTATAACTACTGATCCCGTTATTTATTGATTGGTTACTCATACCATCGTGTTCTTTCTTCATGCCGGTGGCCTGAACGGAAACGTCTCGTGCCTTTGAGCCACTCTCACGCCCATTATTTGGAGCCATCATGACC